GTTTTTCTTTTTTTTATTTGCAGGTTAATGAAAAGCAAAAACAGGCTAAAAACAAACAAAAAGTTCATTGAAACCCAAAGTGACATCCAAGCTTTTTTTTTTTTTTTAAATCAGAGGCTGAACACCATCCAACTTCCAATGACTTGGAAATCAGGAAATCTGGTTATTTGAAGAATTTTTTGTGTTTAGCCTTTGAGTTAATTTAGCTGTAAACAGACTGATTCAGGTACTTCCTTGGATCTTTAAGGGGTAGACATGACAATCAGCTTAATGATTCTGTGTTTTGACACAGATGTTAAAGTCCTTGCTCTCTCTAGGGATTTCCTAAACAAAGTTATGTACCAAGCTTGACTAAATAATTTCAGATTTAATTTCAAAAGGGTGGTTACATTTGATAAAAGATACACTGTGATCCATCAATTCACAGAGCACAGTAACACCTGTTCATGAGATAGACGTTGACTCCAGTCCCACAACCCAACTTCTTCATGAAAGGAGAGGCAGGGATGGTGATGGGGGTTCCGCTGGTGCTTCCGGTGCTCCTCACTCGAACAATTTTAGGGGTTCTAAATGCGCCGTGGTCGGGGCTGGTGGCAGGGGTGGCCATTCTGTAAAGTTTCAGTAAACACGTGAAAGCAAAGTGGCAAAACAAACTCACAACAAGATAGAAGTGGACGTACGGGCATTAACAATGATGTAGATTTGAGTTTAACGTACTGCACTAATAGGTGGTATTTCGTGTATGTATAAGCCGAACTAAAATCTGAGGTGCCTACTATGTTTTTAACCATATACACGATTGTCCTTGTCTACGCTTATATAAAACTGAAAGAAAAAGACATATTTTAAACGGAGCCTGGCGCAACTGCTATTGACAATAGCGTTCAGGGAGAAGCTTCAAGACTCAATTCAAAATTTTACTTTAAACTGAGTAATTAATACAAGACTTAGCTTCGAAATAAGTGATGATTATTTTAGAGTAGTTTTTTAGATATCGGTTATCGACAATATAAAACAAAATTCGCCAACTGTTTAAATTATCGTCAACTGGCATCCTTTAACTGTGACTGCGAATCATTTGGTAAGTTATTTGAATTAATGTATCAAAAATGTTGTTAACTTGAACAAAATCAAATATCTGTAACTTATTTGAAAGAAAAGTAGAATTACCTAAAAGTTTCCCTTCGCTGCTGTAGCTAAAAACCGCCCGAAGATTCAAACTGAAGGCTGGGCATACAGGACGGAGACCGCAGAGGGACAAACCGAGCCCTTTTTAATAAGGGAGTGAAACGTGCATATTTCATTTACTTTTCAACGTGACTGGCCTCAGCTGGTGAAAAGCAGAATTACAATTTTTACTTTTTACACGTTTTACAATATTCTAGATTTTTCCAATAATTAAGAATTGTAATTCTGCTTTTCACCAGCTGAGGGCAGTCACGTTGCAAAATACTAGCAGTACGTGTGTTTATTTATGACAGATGATGATGTAATAACAGAGAGTTGGTTACAAATTAGATTACAAAATGTATTTTCACCACTTACTATGAGCTACACCACAGATTGTAGTCATCACTTACTTATGAATAGTTAGAAAACCCTAGTACCAAAATGAAACAGGGACTGTGAAATCATGATTGGTCACATTTCAAGTAGCTGACACTGTTCTTTAATTTAGAGCATGCTACTTATAAAGATAAATTTGCTGCAATATGTAAGAATTTGTAGAATAAAAAGTGAAAATTTGTAGAAAAAATTCAAGCAGCAGAGGGAATGGGAGTAGAAGTCAGCCGATCAGAAAGCAGAAGACCAAACGGGCTTACTCTGCTGTTCTCTCTCTGCCATGCTGGGTTCCCAACCACGGAGCACAGGGAGCCACTAAGTTTCCTTTAAAGCTTTTAAAAAAATATATTAGCAATGATTTTAATGAGAAAATCAAGGCAGCTACAGAAGTCCCCCATCTTTCATTAAGAGCATCAGCTAAAACCAGAGTGAACAACAATTTTGGCTGTCGGTGTCTGTGCTGGCTTACTAGCTACCTAACATAAACATACCTATTTGCTGCATGACACCAACTCCTTGTAAACTGGTTTAGTGTCATATACAGTGTGATGTAGTGATGTCCTTGAGTGTCATTCATGTGGTTCAGAGAGAGAGCTTACAGGTGAACTAACAGTTCTCTTTTACTGCAAAGACTGAGACAAACTGAGTGAGAAGACACTGCTGGGATGTGGAGTGAGTGTGTGTCAAATATTTGAGCTAACGCTAATATCACACTGATCAGTATATTTATGATAGCCAATAAATGATTGTTTACTCTGATTTCCTGCTGCTCCTAATGAGGAATAAGGGATTTCTGTGTCTGTGTTGATTTCCTCTTTAATCACAGTGCTAATGTGGTGTAGAAGATTGCTGCCACACCGCCTCCTCAGCCTGTGCTTCAAAGGCTCTGATAGTTAGTATGACTCAGGGGTGTTAATTCATTTAAACTTACATAATCATCCTGCTGTAACCAGGTTTCAGTAAGGCAGAGTAAATCGATTTGTTGATCAATTGTTAAGTCATGTACTAACTCTTTGGTGCTGTCATTTTTTTGCTGGTTTTTACTTTGTTTTTGTCTGTTTGGGAGCTGATACAGTCTCAATGGAGATGAGGTTTAGAGGGATAACAGTAGGAGAGAAGCTGCAGAGGTGTGTGAGACTGCAACTCTGCTTCCTGGTCCCAACACTAGATAGTCATGTTTCAGCAAATTTCATAAATTTGCCAGATTTCTAGAAATAAGAGCTGCTTCATTCAAAGTGGGATTGTCTCACAACCAGACCAGGTTTCCTCCAGAAAGTTTCCCAATTATCTATAAAGATAATGACCTCTGATTGATGTAACCGGGTGTCATTATTGCTGATGTGAATTATACTTTTACTGAATTCAGGTTTACCCTCAGCCAGCAGTTTTAAATTTCACTCAGTGTCGCCTGCTCTGGCCCCTGGAAGACAACTGACTATGGTTGCTGCTGTCTTCACATGTCTCAGAACAGAATCACCAATTACCAGAGTTCGATCCCTGGCGGGTGTGTCGCAGAGTGGGGGAAACAGTTAGACACATGAACAGGTTTGTCATGTACCAGGGCTTCTGTTTAAGACTATGCTTCCTCCTCACCGTCACCCAGCCATCATGTTTTCCCGTCTGCTCAGGATAACCTGCTGGGAGACAGTTAGCAGGGCCTACGCCACCTTCCACTGCTCTGGCTACAGGGGCCTGAAAAGCTACGGGGTTTTCAAGGGTGGGATTTCGAGTGTCCAGTTTAGTGATCCAGGCCTCCAGAGCTGCCGAAAGGCTACATTTATTACAAGTATCATTACTAAAAAAAAGCAGAAAGCATAACTCCTTCTCCGGAGTCGGAGCAGTCTTCCACATATCAGGTTAAATAAAGACTGCTGAGGAGCAAGCATGGCTTGGGCCCATCTCAGAGCTCACCCTTGCAGCAGGATAACCATGAATACAATTTTTGCACAGTCTGAGGAATAAATTCTCCTTTGTTGATGAAACACTAGGAAACACTGTGTGAGGAAACCTCCGTTCTTTTCACAGGTAATAACTTCAGGTGTAGGAAGAGGCCTCTCCAGAGGTACAACCTCCCTGAGCTGTGCTGCTGACCATGTCCATCGTTTTATGACCACAGTATACTCATCTTATAACGGATGTCAATCCAGCAGATTATCTTTGGCATGTGGTGGATCAGGAGATTTGCAACATGGATGCACAGCCGACAAATCTGAAGCAACTGTGTGATGCTATCATGTCAATATGAAACTAAGTCTGTGAGGAATGTTTCCAGGTCTTTGTTGAATCTGCGCCACAAAGAATTAAGGCAGTTCTGAAGGTGAAAGAAGGCCCAAAACAGTACTGGCAAGGTGTAACTAATGAAGTGGCCAGTGACTGTATTTAGTGTCTAGATGTTTTTTTCAGTATTTTATTCACTTAATAGCAGGACAGAATACCACATGACTGTGGCCTTGTGTTATACCCTCTCTGCTGCAGTGATGCCCCTCACACTGTAACTTAAAGTAATAAATTGGTTACTGATTAATTACAGAAGTAAATTTATGAGCATAAAGATGTAAGCCTTGGACCATCGGGATGAAATGTGGTTGGGAAACTTAACAAGCATTGATAAAGCTTCATCAGTAGCTCGAGCAACACCTCAAAACCTTCGCTCACCACGGGTGGTTAGCAGACTGTGGTTAATAACATGCAGTAAATTGCAGTTTAAAGCAGTCTGCTTACACATTGTTAAACGAGGGAAGGGAACTAATGTCCCATTTCATCCCCGGACTTGATTAAATGGCTGCTCACTTTCTACAGTACTTAATAACTGATCAGTAGGACCTGAAACTGCAAACATTCAGGCCAAGTAAGAATCAGCTGGTGAACGTATTAATCTTCTACAAGTTTTTGACCAGGAGGTTAAACTCATACAAATTAGATAGCAGATAGCAGATCATTTGTGTCTGTGTTAGGATGGTTTATATTTGAGCTTCTTGTTCACACAGAACAATTTTTCTTACTTGTTTTTAACGATTACCAAAGTCTGTGAATCCCTAAATTATTCAGTTGTTCTTTTTGCTCCCCATGAGGTCACTTTCACCATGTGACAAAAATAACACCCCACTGTACCACAGCAACTTTCTATATCCTCAATAAAACGCTGACAGGTTGCAATGATGTTCCAAATAACTTATCAAGAAAACAACTAAATAGACAGAAACTATTATGAAAACTGGTTTATTTTATATCTCCTAGTTTGAAATTAAGCAATAAAAACGTGTATAAAACATCACAAACTGTAATATTATACAAATGCTTACGTCCTGCTGATGCAATGGAGACATCTTCCAGTGACAGTCTTCATCCGTGTGAGTGTGAGGAGGCTCCTAAACCCACCGACACAGAAGTGCATGTTCACAACTCCCTCTGTGCATGGTGAGGAGGGGTGGTGCTGTGGCCAGTCAGGTATGAAGTGCTGAGAGTGGATCTTTGGTCCTCTGTGCAGCTCTGTCCACTCTCAGCTGCCCTGCAAAGCAACAACACAAGAAAGACGTCATTTTAACACAAAACAGCATTTCCATTGTAGGTAGCTGCAGCATGTTGTTAAAATGCTACTTTAAACTCAACATATAAATAAACTTAAACCTACAGATCTGTAGTACGATGATTTACACCAGCCATTGGAATGATTTAGTCTTCAAGACAGTTTGTAGCCAATGTGAGGTGATAACTTACATAGCTGGAACACAGCACCACTCTCCAGTTTGTCATTTCAGTCTGAAGTGCTGAATGCTGGGAGAGGACAAGTGTAAAGCACCTGAAGACAAAAAGACAAAGAAAAAAGGATGAATTCACAGATCACAGAGTTGTTCAATTTACTTTTCTTCTGTTGTGTTTTTACCTTACCTCTGATCCCTGAGCCACAGGCTATACCTTATGTAAAAACAAGAGACTACAGTCAGTTCACGACATCATTTTTAAACCTTTTCTACTTATTTGTGTTGACATTAAGTACGGACTTACCTTTGTCCTGCATGGTGAGCTAGAGCTTGAGAATCTTTAGCCATCAGAATTGTTGTCTTAAGGCCAAGAAAGATGCCAAGCGGATTTATTTTACCAAGTGGATCATCATGGCCTTGCCATATTGGTCCATTTGA